CTCCCCCGCTGCCGGATCGGTCCCCCCATCCCTGCACCCCCACACACACCGGGGAGCTCCGTGCCCGGGAGGGGATTCGGGGGGGGGCCTTTTCCATCCCCTGGCGAAGCAGGATTTGGCTCTGGTGCCATTACCCAGCCGGGCGAGAGCATTGCAGCACCGCGTCCCCTCCGGCAGGTCCCGGGGGGCACCGGGGGGCTGCCTGCCCTGCACCCCCAGCCCCAGGCTGGCCATGGGAAGGGGATGGCAGCCCTTAAGATGCTGCGCTGCAGGGCACAAAGTGCTTTGCACACTCGTGGTGCGGTGGTGGGAGTAGGCGCTGGCCCTCTTTGCCCTGGCTGCAGGCAGGAGCCGGTGTTTGGCCAGGGAGTGTGGCCAGCTGGTAGCCCCAGCCTGGCCAAACTGGCCCAGTGGGGTGCATGGCCCAGGGCCTGGCACCATTACAGCTGGCTGGCCAGCTGTGGGGCTCAGCACAAACCGCAGACCCGAGGGGCTCGGCGTGCTCGGGGAACCACGGGCAGATGCAAGACCCCGGGTGAGAGGTGGAAGCGGTCCCCCAAACCTGCTGGTTGCCAGGGCATCCCTCCTCCTTCGAGCCTGGCCTGGCTGTAGCCACCCTCCCGCTGTCCCAGCTCATGCCCCAATCCCACATCTCCCTGCCATGGGGAGGTGCATCTCCACGGTGCTCCGAGGGGAGAGTGCAGCTCCAACAAGCCCATATCAGCCCTCAGGTACCCGGGGCAGTAATGACACAGAGCAGGATGCTCAAGGACCGCAGACCCTTCTCCAAAGGGCCACTGCTTGCTGGAGGCCTTTCTGCTCTGTCTTCACCGATATTAGCACCTACGTCAGGGCTGGCTTGGGGACACCTCGAGGTCCACGTGGCAATGCGTAGCCACAGAGCCCCACAGCTGGCCAGGGCTTGTGCAGAGACAGGCAACTAGGGATGGAAACAAGGTCACTGTTCTGCCCCAGACAATTTGCTCAGGGTCTGTTGAAAACTTCCACTTGTTTGGTCCATATTGCTGTTCCTGAGACAGTTTTATATTCTTGAGCTTAAGTCTCCTTTCCCAAGGTGCGAATAACACCCGCTGGGATGCTTAGCCTGTTGTGAGAGCCTGTTTGGTAGTGCTGGTAAAGCCAGGCATGAGAAGAGAGAATCCATCTCTTTTTTGTTTGTTTAAAAAGGCCATTTTTCTCTAAAGACAGGAAAATACAACTCCAAACATCATCTTAATAATTGCCCATTTCCTAAAAGTCTTCTGATGAAGGCAGCCTAAAACCTAGCTTTCTGTGATAACACACCTGACTTGAGTTTATCTATGATTTTATTTACACGTACCTGTCAAATTTTGTAAGGGCAGAAGATACAATTTCTACTCCACCTAAAGATCAGATCCCACACTGAGTCTGGGAACTTAGGTTCAAGTAATTTTTCTGTTTGGACTTCTCATTGCTGTTTTCTTGTATCCCAGCATTATCATTGCACAGATGTGATGTGGTCACCAAAAGTACAGTTAGAGATGGGACGCCTCTCTGAATAAACGAGCCAGGATGCTCTTCCCTGGGTCTGTCACTATTTTGAAAGAATAAATCTGTAGGTATCAGTCTTGCTATAGCGACTCAAAGGCTACCTGAAGAAAGCCCTGACATGGAAAAGCAAATGCGACATGGCTCTGCAAAGAGCAGCCGGTGGAGGGGACAGCCTCAGCGTTAAAATGAGCTCATGGATCAGCTTTTGCATGCGTCCCGTCAGGGCTGTTTGCTTATCTTTCTATAAATCGCAGGGCTATCTGCCAGCAGCTCTGTTTGCAGGTGGGAGCGCTCCCTGAAAAATCCCACGTTAGTGGAGGTGTCTTGAATTCAGCAGCGTCCTGCGAATTCAGGGTTTGTGATTATTAGCGAGGTGGATCAGGGCTGCGAAGGCTAACTTTTCACTCATTAAAACAGGAACTTTCCCATGTGCATATTTTGTGGAATATATTTATAGAGGGGAGAAAGTTAAAACTGGGATAAAGTGTTTTGAGATTATAGACATGAACAACAAAAAATGCCCCAAACTAAAAAAATAGAAAAAAAAAAAGGAAGGGGAAATAGGGAATCTTTTTAACATCATAACTTTTTTTACCTCAGAATTTTGTTTCACCTGCAAATGCTATAACTTAAGAGAAAAAGATGTTGAAAACTTGGAAAGCCAAATTCTTCCCCACCGGACTGTTGTGTAAAATGATTACAGCTGGGTATTGGACCTAACCAAAATCCTGGCTGGGATGGATGGATGGATGGATGGATGGATGGATGGATGATGGAGATTGCTTTGCTCAACAAGTAGTTGAAGCATCTTCTTTGAATATGGCCTGGGGGCAAATGTAGTCACCATGAGCCCGTTTGACTGGTAGAGTTGGGTGAGGATGAAATCCAGTGTATTTCTGTCTCACTCTTCTGGAGGCCCGATCCAATATGACTGCAAGTTAATTGAAAAATTCCCAGTGAATTTTCAGCTCTGTTGGGCTACAACCCTATCTCCAGAAGATGCCGTGGCCCCAGCCATAACCAAAGCTTCATAATCAACCATAATTAGCACTTCAGACCATCCTCCCTCTCACCCATCCTGGCCCGCTAGGGACTTGCACAGAAGCAAAGAACATGGAAAAAACCTCTCTGTACCGATTTCTGTGCTTCTCCCTGGCCAAAATCCTGGTGGCAGTCTTACAAAACCTTATCTGATGCCAGCACAGGCAGACGTGGAATAAGAAGCCCTGTTAAAAAGGCTTTTGGACATGAGCAAATGTGAGCAGCCAGATGCAAATAGCAGGCAGGCTGTGTGTGGGCAGTTGTGCTTTGCGTTAAAATCTCCACTGTGGGCTGTGGCTCCATGAAACACCCTGATTTGCCTAGTGGGAGGGGTTGCCCACTCAACGTCCCCCAAGCCACAAGGACTGGGGGCTGTGGGCTTTGTTTGAAGGACCCCCCATGGCTTGTGTTTCCCTCCCAACAAGGGCAAAGGCTCTGAACGTGCAGGAAGGGAAAGCTGGAGGGGGTCAGTCTGGTGAGTATATTAGCCTTTATTTGCTGGAAGTACTTACATTAAGCTTCTCCTCTGTCCAGTCCACTATTTTCCCTTGTTCTGTCAGAAAGTGATCTCTTTGAGACCTTACAGTGCTACACCAAACTCAGTTGAAATTGCCC